GACGACGACGACGACGTACGACGACGACGACGACGACGACGACGACGTACGTACGACGACGACGACGACGACGACGACGTACNAGATTTTCTTAAATTATTTAATAAGTTGTCGATGTCTATAGAGAATGTAGGAAACAAAATGTTCCAGGACAGATTTAAATTGTGGACATTGAGGAAGTGCTGCTCTCTCTCTCTCTCTCTCTCTCTCTCTCTCTCCTCTCTCTTCTCACGCATAAAGAGTTCAGGTCGTTAAATCTCTCTCTCTCTCTCTCTCTCTCTCTCTCTCTCTCTCTCTCTCTCTCCCCCTCCCTCCCTCTCTCTCTCTCCCTCTAACAGCCCTCAGTGCCGGGCAGCAGTAGAAGGAGCGCTGTGGCTCTACTCCTCAGGATCAGTGGATCAGGACTCTCGGTCTCTCAGGTTGACAGCAGCAGCATTACAGCCCGCATGGAGACATTCCCCTCCCCGGACACCATGCACCTCTAAGAGCTCCAACCACACCGTATTTTGTCTCGCCTGAGGGGGGGAAAGTCTGCAAGATCACTTTCCTCGGACCGAGCGTCAAAGGATTTTTTTCCACCTCTCTTTTTTCCCACCAGCCCGTTTCTCTCTGTTTCTCCTCCGCCTCTTTCACTCTCGCATTTTGGGACTTTTTATTTTCTTCGCCTTTGGGAAAAAAAGGCGCTGCTGTTTCCACGAGTCTACCTGCTCGCCCAGCACCCATGAATTCAGATAAAAATGTGTACCTCGGCAGAGACAAAGGCATCATGCGGAAGAGAGCCCTGCTCCTTCGGAAGGGTTGCAGCTTCGAGATTACCAGGTAGGACCTGTCTTTTTACGATGTTTTGGTCTGGGACAGGCTCGACTACCCCACAGAAACTGGCACTTTAAATGAAGCCACGCCATGAGTGTTTTAACCTTGTGGATTTGGGGATTTAGCGGTGTGTGTGCATACATTAGTAGCCCTTAAAACCTGCATTTCAAGAGATTGGAGTCAGATTTGAACATAAAAGCCTAATTTATTGTGTTAATTTAATCGTTTTTTTTGTATCCTGACACCGTGCGCTCTGATTCCCAGTGTTTGGAATCGTTACGCACGGATACATTTGTCTGCACCTGCAATGTTGACAAAGCTGCTCAGTGGCAGGAAGCCGTCAATCGTAATTTTATTGCCAAAATCAGGTTTTCATTGGGTGGACCAGCACTGTCCAATCATGCGCCATAGAGCGGCTGTGAAGGAATATGCAGTTTTTAATTCCACGTACAGGAGGTATACATTCTTGGGATCAAATCTCCTGCTGTAGTGTTTACATGCACACCTGTGAGTGCACACACACCCTGAGGCGATAAACACGTGATAACAGGGGGTCAGGGTGATAGATGGAACACAGACTGTGCAACTGATTTGACTCCTCAGCGTGGTGGGAGTGTTCTTTTGGCAAACCTCCTGAAGGTGTTTTAGATATTCTGAGCGCAGCTCCAACAGGATGACACTAGTTATCCCTAATGCACCACATTTTCTACATAGTGTCAGTTTGTGTCCTGTGGTTATAGTTAGCATTATTTAAAGGCTCTCACTTTTACTGAGTTCACACTGTTTCCTTCCTCTTTGCATAACCACTGGCTGTGCACAACACTTCCTCGCTGGCTAAGCATTGTTTGTCAAGAACTTGTGATGACATGTGTGTTTTCTTTTGGCTTGCAACACATCTTTATTCTCATTATCGGTTTACTCATTATGGTCTCTAATCTGTATCTAATCTGCATCTTGTGCAGTTTTCAATATCATATTCAGATGTTTTTGGACAAATAACCCTAGATTTGTGAAAGTTTTAAGGTTACATTTGAACTAACACTCGGTCAAAATATCAATTTGGTACTCGTAAAGGAAACGTAGTAGGCCTATATCAAAATGGGTCAATTTGAACCCAGTGACCTAAAGTGTTAGGGAGGAAAGGATGACAGGAAGGTCATCCTTTCACTCCAAAACGTATTTAGTCACCAAAATAAAAGCTTTTGGATTCATACTTTCTTGTGGTTACTTGATCTCACATTTGTGAGTGCCTCCATTCACCGTTTTCCAAGCGCACCTGCCACCTTTATCCATGTTTTAGTGAACAGTCACCAGTTATCTCCTTCTTAAATGTCTGGTTTTGTCATTATTACTTTAAGAATCTCAAAAATATTCAATTGGCTTAAGTGTAAGACTGCCTAAAGTTGATCACTTTAAAGTTTAAACCATCAGAATGTTTGGCATTTTTGTTGAGAAAATTACTTTTTTTCGAACAAGTGGCCAATACATTTTCTTTTGAATCCACTTAACATTTGGAGCTCTCGTTCTCATTATTCTGATCTGATTGTCTGTATTGTTCCGATCACATAATCTCCCTTTCTTCCACCTCCACTCTCATTTCCTGCTATTTCCGACAATCTGTGGAGGTGTACTGTACATGAAGTGCAAATGTACTCATGAATCTCGCTTCATTGCCCTTTTCACTGATGCCTTTGTCTCAGTATGTGTGTGTTTGATATAAGACTCTTTTATCGGAGATCTGTCTCCATCCAAGCTGCCAGGTCCCGGTCTCTAAATAAGGGTGTACGCGGGGGCGAGATTTGGCCAGCTTGGTGCCAAACACTTACTTTCAAATTACACATCTCTTGTAATGAGCTTGATTTATCCTGTGCGGTGAAGAGGCTCGCTTCTTGTCTGCGTGCCGGGGACCCGGAGTCATAGAGCAGAGCTTCCTGGCAGACTGTCTCTCAGACACCAGCAGTTTAACACACAATCAATCAGAGGCAAGCCTGGAGTGCTACTGCAGGGGAAATAGATTCTCCGTGATATGAAAGACACTTACGGAAAAGGGCTGGGGAGAACTCTGTGTATAATTCATTGTGCTGCAGAGGTGCATGACCAAACGGACGTAACATCTGTAGACACACAGTATGTTAGAAATGTGCTTTCTCATGCATAGTACCCTCACTCACACACACACTAACACTGGATGAAGTGTTTCCGTGTGTTTGCCTGTGGAAGTATGTCATGAGGTGGTTTTATCTGGATATCGATCTGCCCTCTTTCTCTTCCAGGCTGCAGGAGCAGTCTCAGAGACATTGAGGAAAATACTGCGTCCTTTGATTAAGCACCAAAACAACATGGGGAAATACTCTAAACACTACTAATTACAAAAGAGAGGGGTTCTCCACAAAATGCAACTAAAGTATCAAAGGTTCAAGTACTAATTTTGCAGATAAATGGCCCCTGTGACTGATATAATTGTTATGAAATTGTTTACATTGATGCATTCATTTATTAGCAGTCGGTTACGGTAGGTGGATGAGATGGAGCTAGTTTTGGCTTGTATTCACTTGGGTAGTTTGTAAAGTGGTTCCCAACCTAGGGGTCTGGACCTTCTGAAGGCTCTACTGGTACATCTGAGTGGACGTGAGATGATTAATAAGGCAGGAAATAAGGAATAAGAAAATGTAAATCACTACTAATCTCCAACTTGTCCTTGAAATATGTTATTGTAAGTGAAGTTTTAAAGGGGCCTTGTTCTGCTTTTGGGGGTTTCCTTTTCCTGTAGTGTGTTTATAGGTTTCTGTGCATGTAAATGGTCAGCAAAGGCTAAAATCCCTGTGTTCCCTCCAGAGGGAGTTTCTCTCCAACAGTTTAGATTTAGGTTTTGATTAAATGTACTTTGTTACTACTGACATTTTAGTGTGGGGATCCAAGATTATGTACAATGTTAGTTTTGAATTCTCATGATCTGGGCTCATCTCTACATGCTGATCTGCTTCAGTATAAAAACACATGCATCACATTATTATTTCTGAGTGTGTTTTGGACTCTGCTTCACAGTGACTAAGCTTTATCTAACAAAGTGAGTGGACAGCCAATTGGCAGGTGTTATCTGACAGCAGGTATCTGCAGAGCTGCAGGTGAAAGCTGCCAATCGATTGGTCATTTCCCTCCGATGTGCTGGTTTCACGTGTTTGAACTAGGTCTGAACGATTAATCGATTTTAAATCGAAATCGCTATTTTAAATGATGCGATTATCAAATCGCAAAGCCTGCGATTTAAAAAACAATTTTTGATAAAAAAAAAAAAAGCTTCTTGTGTGTCAGTCATCCACACCAATCAGAAGTGCTGTGCTCCACATGTACCAGCCATTGTTAACCAATCAGAAGTGGCCCATGATAGAAGGTGATAGACAGATTGATCCAATCACCTGCCAAGTATTTTTGAAATACTTTTCCAAATGGCTTCCAATGGAACTCTCCTGGATGGTTTGGTGAAACAAACCATCTGAGTCAGGTTAGTAATGCTCCATCACATGTTTTACACCTATTACAGGGTGAATCTTAAACTGAAGCTTGACTTTAAAGCAACCCAATGGAAGTTTTATGTAAGTTTAGTTCTTTCACTCGTGGCTCGGGCTGCGGGGGTGCTAGAGACGGGAGCACGTTGATACGACCTTCCTAGCCGGAGATATGGCCGCATTTTACAATAAACTTCCGTTGGGTCGCTTAAAAACAAATATCGCAAATCGCAATATTTGTTCGAAATCGAAATATCTGTCGGAAAAATCGCTAGATTAGGATTTTTTCCCAAAATCGTGCAGCCCTAGTTTGAAATTGATGTCTATCTGCAGTGCATGCTGGTATGTCAGGCCTATTCAACTGGCGGCCGCGCGGGCCCGAGATGGGCCCCAGAACCAACTCCCGGAGTGCCCAGACTGCCTCCGGTAGCCAAATTCCTACACTAGTACAGACATGAACGCAACACTCCCGCGTTGCATAGAAACCACCAAACCACAACGCAGGCACGTTTTTTGAAAGTGCATCTAAGTGGTGCTAGTAACGGTGGTCCTATTGATAGCAACTCTAAAACATGTCTCTCTCAACTCTGAAGCGTTAAACAGAGACCAAAACGGTAATTGATCTTGTGGAGCCGAGATCCAAGTCAAAGCTGGACCTTTTCGCGACCGACTTGAGCACGGGTCGGATGCTGCATTTTCCGACGGCTCCCCAAACACATCACATCTCCGGACAAATCACGGATGTGATGACAGATTTCATTGCGAGGTTGAAAGAGAACTTTGCCCGGTCTTATTGGATGGACTTGCTCTGCCCACCCAGACGTGATGATGGGCTTTTGCCAGAGACCCCTTCCACTGTTGCAATAGGAGGGGGGACGTATCAACCAGAGCAACGAGAAGTGGTCCCCTGCATCGACAAGGGGGAAATATTACACTGGAGACTTATTGACATGCAGCGCACTAACGGCGCCAGGCGAAGTTTTTGGCAGTGAATGTCAAAAAACAGCAGTTCCCTAACGTTCAGAAAGTAGCGATCCGCTGTGCTCAGTATGTTTTGATCGAACATACACATGTGATATCAAGCTTTTTCACGCATGAAACTCAATCAAAAGTAGCACTCGCTGCTCCCTGACTGGACCAGCACTTTTTCACCAATGTCTTGGGATTGCATTGACACTATCCTATGAGCCAAAAATCAACTGCTCTTGTTCAAAAAACAAAAAAATGTCCCTTCTGACATGGAGAAAGGTCGCGATTGACACAAATCACAAATGGAGGTGATATAAACACCTAGAGTAGTTTACTATAGTAGACGTGTAGGTGTATATTCATTTCATAATAGTTACGTGATCCCGCTTGTTATGGGTTTGGCTGCACTGATAGTGTGTTGGATAGTTCTTTCTGTATTGCGATTTAAATGACTTTGTAATGTGTCTGGCGACAAATGTGACCAAAAACGGTATGGATTTTTTTGTTATTACTTGAAAAGTGAAAAGATAT